ACTACTAGCAGCCCTGAACTCCCCGAGACAACTTCCTCCGCGCCATACGTACCACATACAACTACTACTAGCAACCCTGGACTCCCTGAGACAACCTCCGCGTCGAGCTCCGTTTCCTCGGGACCCTCCTGGGATACTAGCAGCAGCAGCACGTGGGAAGACTGGACGACAACGACATCTTCGGACCCTGTGACTAGCAGCACATGGGATGACTGGGTCAAGACCACAACCAGCTATGTTGGTTCAAGCACTACCAGCTCATCGAGCTCCTCGAGTCCCTCAGGCTTCCAATGGGAAGATTGGACCAGCTCAACAACCGAGCCCAGCGATCCGACAACGGCCTGGGGCGACTGGAGCTCGGTCGTGACCGTCACAATTACCAGTAAGGCATTAATCTCGCCCTTCCCTTCATTTCTGTTGTCAATATGGAATAGTACTGACCTCTGCTATCACAGAGACCTGGACAGAGCCGTGCTCCACGGGTTTCACGACCAAGACCACAACTATCACGACCACCCACTGTGGCTGCACCGAGACGCCTGTTCCTACAGCCTGCATGACGACGAAAACCTTCACGCCGTCGGCAGGATGGCCTTTCAGCACACCGATTGTCGCCAGCGTGCCATGCGCAGTTCCAGCCGGTAGCACCTCACCCGTTGCAGCCACCTCGACTGCTCCAGCACCAAGCGGCGGAGCCTGGGGTGGGCAGCCCGCTCCAGGCGCTTCAACGGTGACTGAGGGATCTTGGGTCGGCAAGCCTGAGTCTCCCGTTGCGGCGGCCTCCACCAGCACCGGCACCGGCGCATGGGTGAGCCCGAGCGTGACGATGGCCACCACATTGACCGTCGCGCCCGTGCCGTCGTCTGCGTGGGTCGCGGCCGCTTCCGCAACACCGGTGGCTCCTTACAGCGTCCCGAGCAACGGCACCAACTCTTGGGTTGCGACTTATACGGGTGCAGCAGGCCGCATGACATCGAACGGCGTTGCCATGCTTGCCGCTGGAGCCATCGCAATCGGCGTCTTCGCTTTGTAGATGACTGATGGCGGTGCGGTCGAGCTAGGGGAAGGGAAAGGAGTTGGGGAGGGGAAGGGGAGCCCAAAATTAACGCCGTCAGTTCAGTTGTGTGAGGGATGATTTGTAAATTTACACACAGAAAGACTTGTGGTCCTCTCGATTACTTACTACTGGGCTACAATCAATCTCGTATGATCTCTGACGGACTGTTTCAACGCCTCCCTTCTTGGTCCCCCTTGATATATGTTATGTATGACACTAGGTACTCAGTATTTCTCAGAGCCGTGTTTGCTTTTTCGCGTTCTTTCTCATCTATTTAGAAAGTCAATTCAGAGCAGACGATTTCATGAATGACGATATTCAATGGCCCCTTTTAACGGCTGGGAGAAGAAGCAATAAAGGCAGCAGGAAAACCTAGTAAGGGACTGAAAACGAAACACAGTTCTATTTCTTTCTCGGGAGACACCTGATTGTTTTCGGAGTTGTTGAGATTGAGACGGCGAGTTTCATATTTAAACAAGTCCACAGAAATGTCTTGTTCTCTTAACGACCAGCCCATACGCAAATTCTGAACGGGACAACTCTGAATCCATTGGGAGACACAGCATTCACGTCATACTATATGATTTTTGGCTTCCAGGTCCCTTTTCGTGATTATAGCAACCGCAAGAACACTATAATACATTGTCAGAGTTTGACCCCCATATGTGTCAATGTACAATGAAGACGACCTGCACACATCTGTCTGCAGTGCAAACCGGCGTACCGCCTCAGTCAATCCAGGAATAAGAATATGCCAGGTGGTCCAGAATTCCCGACACCTGAAACCCAATTACTCTCCCAGTCATCATTTCGTACCGTCGTTAAAGGTCATGCGTACAATCAGTGTATCAGTCAAACAAGAATCTAGCAGTGGCTTAGTAGCCGAACCTGAATATCAAATCATCGGTTCTTTCTGTTCTCCCACCCGTTCATAGTGCGTCTGATTCCAAGTGTCTTCCTAACAACGCCCGAAGCAGTATATGATGAAGAGAGCCCACCATTTCTGATCGAAGACATACTAGTCTTGTGCAGGGAACTGACCGGCTTGGCGAGGACATAATTGGTCAATGTCGTTGCATTATCATCTGGTGCTAGGGACTTCGACCCCGCTGTAGCCCCGGGGGTCTGATTCTCACCTTCGGGAGTGTCTAGAATCTGTTGTTCCCTCTCATCTGCGACGCACGGAGGTGGTGAACTGCACAGCCCAGCATACCGGTTCTTGGAGTTTGTGCTTGTCTCTTTCAGAGGTGCAGGACGTCCATAGATTATGCTGTTGCGAAAGTTCAATTGATGCGAAGACAACTCTTCGGGGATGCCACACTTGGCGATATCTCGGTCTCCACGCTTTTGACGAAGGGCGCCTTCATAGCTCAGATCTCTGTGTTGATCTACCACAATGGTGTGCGGTCTCAATGCATCTGCTGATAGTTGCTGTGCTTGGGCAACGGACTTTGGGAAGAAGCTTCCGATAGTGCCTTGTCCTGAAATCGACTTTGACAGCTTCGGCTTTTTCTGAGGCGGGAGCGGATTCGATGAGGATCTCCTGAGATTAGCGACACCTGTTTTGAGCTGATGGCTGGCAGTGGTGAAGCCCAGCGACATGTTTGACGTGGAGAAGGCGTCGACACTGCTCATGGTGGTGACCACCCTAGAGCCAGCAGAGGTTGACGTGGCATCTTTTCTTGGAAGGCTAGAGTAGCCTCGGTATTGTTGTTTCTGAGCGGCAAGGACCTCTGCTAGTGGCCTGCCGAATTCTTGAGTACCCTGTGTGTCGCTTGGAAGCATTGGCGTAGGTCGGCGGCTACCATCACTCGGCCATATGTCATCAGCTGGACTTTCTTCGCCCTTGATGCCCTGTAAGCTCTTTGCTAGGTCTTCCTGTGACGGCATGGGCCGTCCAAGGATGCTTGCTATATCCTGGATCGCGTGATCATGAAATAATGGACCAGTTTGAGCGAGATGATGGTGGACTTTGGGTGGGAGAAACTGAGAAAGAACGGACTCTGCTTGATCCCGGGATTGCAACACTGGGAAAGTCATTGTGAGAAGAGTCTGAGCTCGTGTCATTGCGACATAGAGCAGTCGCCGCTCTTCATCAGTATTGTCAGCTCGAGAATGAGGAATAGACCCTTCATAGACTGCTGGAATAAATACGACAGGCCACTCAAGACCTTTTGCGGAGTGAATCGTCGAGATGGTGAGGCGAGGTTTGTCATTGCTTTCTTCGGCATTTTCAACATCGGTCGAGAGGACAATATTCGCCAGAAATTGAGCGAGGACTTCCTGACCACCATTGGAAATTTGCTGTTCCACACCCTCAATAGTCGCGAGAGGCTCTTCGGCCGCATTCTGTAGCAGGACCTCAGATGCGTGTGTAATGAGTTCTTTGACGTTCTCGAGTCGATCTTCATGGTCATCTTTGTATTTTCTCTTCAGATAATTTTCAAAGTCTAAAGATTCGACAACGAAATCAATCAACTTCGTCGGAACCGTGGCCGCCGGTTGTACGGTATTCATCTTTTGTCTAGCAGTCCGGATGAGACTAATCAGGCGGCCCAGTTCCTGTTCCGCCGGTTTCGAAAGCCTCTTTTTAGGCTTTAGATCTCCTGTGAGGACTTTTTGCACAACAGCCCAGAGTGAGAGTTTATGTTCTTCCCCAAGTTTGACCATTTCAGCAATCGAAGTCTCTCCGATCTTGCGTGGCGGCGTGTTTATGATTGCCACGAAAGCCTGATTATTGTCAGGATGGCTGATAGTGCGGAGGTAATCGATGATGATCCGGATTTCGACACGGTCAAAGAAACGTTGACCCCCAACCATGCGATACGGAATGTTGGCGTTTGTCAAAGCTCGTTCAATAAGCAATGAGAGATAAGCCGAGCGAAGGAGAATAGCGAAATCAGAATGCAGAAGTAGGCCTCCAGTCATTGTCATCGTTCTCTTGATCTCACTAGCAATCCACAATGCCTCCTCATTAGGATTAGGCAGACGTCGAAGCACCGGCTTAGTTCCATGACAGTGGGTCGCTTTCATTTTCTTCTGGGGACGGTTGGCGTCTTGTTCAATGACATCCTGGGCAAGTCTCAGCACGGCCGACGCAGAGCGATAATTTTCTTCCAAATTGATGACGACTGTTTCAGGGTAGAAAGCTTTCATTCGTCGTAGATTCTCGATTTCCGCAGAGCGAAATCCGTAAATGCTCTGGTCTGGATCACCGACAATGGTGATCTTTCTGTTTGCAGATGCCAGTAATTTCATCAGTTCGAATTGCACGATGTTGGTATCTTGGAACTCGTCAATCAACAAGGCTTCGATGTTGGACACGCAGGCTGGATATGCTCGCAGAAGATCAACACATCGCAAGAGCAGGTCGTCATAGTCCAGTAGTTTGGACACTGCCAATGCCGCCTCATATTCGTGGAAAATGGTTATAAACTCTTGCTCCTTCAGCTCTTTCGGCGGTTTCTTCGGCAGGTCTTCCAGCTTTTTCCCTTTAGCCTTGTGACTTGAAATTCTGGCTCTCGCATTTTTTGGTTCGATCGACAGGTTGAGGCGCTTGACGATGCGCTTGATTATGCTATTACTGTCTGAGTTGTCCGCAATTCCAAAACCTTTGGGTATTCCAATAAGGTGGCCGTACGCGACCAAGTAACGTCGACAGATGGAGTGGATAGTTCCGAGGACCAGCTTAGATTCGAGTTCACTGCCAACCAAGCTTCTCAGTCTTTCCCGCATTTCCCTGGCAGCTTTGATGGTAAACGTGCAACAGATGACATTTTGCGGATTGTGTCCATAATGAGCAGTGAGATAGGCGACGCGACAGGTCAAAGTCTTGGTTTTCCCAGACCCAGGAGGAGCTAGCACTTGGAGAACTGATGCCGGCGAGGTGACTGCAGCTCTCTGAGCGGCATTGAGCCCTACTAGGAGCTGCATTTCGCATGGGGGTCGAGCTGGACATTGATCCAGTGTTGAACAGAGAAAAGACGCGCAGGAACGCGTCGAGCTGCAAAGTGGCGATCACGAAATCAGGTGACCGCATGGAGTTCCTCGCTTCCTCCGGCATTCCGCATTAATCACCCTTGATCACCCTCCTTAATTGTAACAACAGCAACATCAGAAGAAAGGAGCTATCAAAGAGACAATTCTGCACCCACCATGATCGATCGCACTTCATTCCCGCGTGTCTTTATGATACCGCTGCAATCACCGCTATCTGACATCCGAATGTGCGAGCAGGGACAGGAAGTCGAAGGAACAATTGAACGGCCAATGCACCCATAGCTCTGAGCACATTCTAGCTTCCGCGCATCTAAGAAAGACACTTTTGCAATCAGTTGGCCATCCATTTGAGAGCGGAAAGCCCATCATTTCTTCCTCCGCCATGAACATATCAGTAGCGCTGAGAGTCTTTCGACAAACGAGGAGGCTGAGAGGATTGGCGGTGTCCTGAGCTAAATCGTCCCAGAACTCTGGTTGAACGTCAAACAGAGAGCACTCTTCAACTACACTAAAATGAGGCACTGCACCTGAGTCACTTCAAGAACCCACCTGAACCACACCGGGAGTCTTCTCAAAGACTTGTCACGAACCAGCCTGTCTTTCATTCAAACTTTGAAAAATTCTGCATCTGAACATATGAGAACGGGTTCGTCATTGGAGATGCTGGTACAACCATGGGAAGCTGAAGAGCTTTGACTTCAGTTCCTTCAGATTCAAAGGACTCCTGGTCACTCTGGCCAATGGTAGGCTAGAGCTCAAAGCAAGAGAGGTTGGTTTTCTCGTTGAAATGCTCCCATTCAGTGTTTTCGAAGTGAATACGTGACAATGAACCAAGCCAGTGCCCGAATAGACATTTTCTTTGACGCTAACGACAGAATGGCTGAGTCTCCCGAAGGGAGTGAAGAATTGTATTGGATGAATAGGATGTTGCGATTTGGTTCCAGCTATTGTTCTTTTCAGAACCAAACTTGACGGTGAGACACTTCAACCCGCTCCTTCTGATGACTCCCATGCAGAGTACAAATACAGGCTTGCTCCTTTCCTCCGCTCCTGCTCCGCTCATCAGATCACACTGCTCTACAGACTCGACAGACTCAAGAGTCAACAGACTCAACAGACTCAACCTCCACCTACACTCAACAACAGCTCAGCTACAACGACAGCTATATAAATAGAAACCTACTGGTCTTTCCACCGGCGCAACTCTTCAACAACAACACCCTCAACAACACAACGCCTACGTCTTCATTGATCACCATGGCCTCCAACACTTTGTCCTCCAAGCCCACCCAGCAGCTCACCAAGATGATCAACAACGCCACTTCTACCAACCAACTGCAGAAGTTGGATCTGGCGACCGCCCAAAACGGTTCCAATCAAGCCGTCCGCGAACAAGCGGCATCCACCAAGCCAAACAAAGTCGTCAAGCCATGCCCGCGTGAAAAGGCGTCCCTCTTCCACAAGCCCCAAAAGCGAGGCCCACTTGCCGCCATGGCGGCAACCAAAGTCAACACTCTCGCCAACGACAACGAGAAACACTACGACCTGGTTGCCGCAAAGTTGCGGTACCACAAAGACACCTACACTGTCTCGTCTGCTCGTGGCTACGCGCCAAGAACCGTCACCAAAAAAATGGCGGTTCCCCGGTTTCTCATCTCTCCAAGACCAGTCTTCAACTCTGCCTCAAAGGAGCTGCTAGACTTGATAGAGCAAGGAAGGGCAGAGAAACAGAGACAGGAGGAGATTGACACGCTATTTGACTCCGACAGCGACAACTAAGGGGGTTGAGAACAAGCAGCCGCAGCAACAACAACAACAAGAAGGCTGCTTCAACTCAACACACTCCACAAACACCAAAAATCACTTGCACTACGTCGACTTCCATTACTCAAAGGCCAACCTCAACCCCAATCACCACCAACCTTGACCTCAATCATTCTGTCAACCTCACGAACCAAAAACATCCCTACCACAATAGCACGACAGCCAGAAGGGAGACAAGGCAGCCTAGAAACGAGACACACCCAGAATTGTTTGCCTACTTGTCAATTACAAATCGGCGTTCGTCACTTACAACGTTCGCGGGGTGGGAGTAGACCATCAACGGTTATAGCCAACCAACAGCCATCGTCAGTGGTCAATAGCCACTTTCGGCTTGACCCAAAAACTAAATAACAATGCTGCTTACAGACTCCTGTCCGTGTTCGGCGGTGAACTGGAGATGATCCAACCAGGAAGCTTTCCTCCAGATGAAATGTCTGGAGATCGACAAGGACAATTGGAAGAGCTGCCAGAAGGTTAACGATAGAATGTGGTCCCCTCTCGCCTGAGAGAGCTGGCATGAGTGTCCGTGTGAAGACGGCCGCCATGTTCAGGAGAATCGACATAGAGGAGGATGCCGCCGGTGGCAAGGACGCCGTGAGCATCACGAACAGAAAGTTGCCTAGCGCGACTGAACATCAGCTCTATAGCGAGAGCAGTGAAGTGAATGAGGCCGTGACAGATATTGTACAATGCCTTCATTGTCCTCGCAGTTCACCCTGTCTTGTCTGGCCGCGCCCTAGCCGCGATCATCCGAGATTTGTCTTCAATAATAAATGACAAATGACAGTCGCAATAACTGCCTCTGGATTTCACCGCGTGTGGTTTCTCATCTTTGATTTTCCGCCTGTATATATCTCCTCGACCTCTTCCATCTTTCTGTCCCTTCCAACGTGCCATCAAACCAAGTCGAACACTTGTACCCACTGAGCACAAGTCCGAAACATTCAACCTTTGACTTTCCTACCACACCCAAGCCGTCAATACCACCTTATCTCCCCACCTCATGTCTCCTCGTCCCCAAGTTGTACCTACTCGTATTGTCAATATGGGCGGCCGGGCATCAAATCGGAACCAGAGTCTCTTGCAGCAAAACCCTTCACCCATGCAACGGCTGATAGGAAAGCAAAGGAGGGCTCCAAGAGCGGTTCAAATGGCGGTTGCGACGGTAGCCAGCCAGCCAAACGCAAGCAGGTCGACTAGGGCACTCTTGACGATAGACTCGGTCCGGACGTGGACGAGACTTTGCGTCTAGCCGTGATACCATCCGCCGCCTGCTCTCGTGCTGCGCAAGAAAGGCCAAGGTGCCACACAAGCCCGAGAGTGGACGGATAATGCCGAATACCACGGCTTCAGTGACTACTTCTATGCCACCAGAACCAGTCCCACGCTCCCCAACTACCTGACACGTCTGGATACCTGTGTATATAACGCGGGAGAATCCGACAAGCTCCACTGCTTAGCCAAGCATGTGTACATGTCAATCTGGGGCGACGAGAATGGCCAATTCAAAGGTAAGACCGTGCTCATGGACAACTGGTCTCACACCCAATGGGGTCCGGCCGCCTTTCTACCCAATTTGGGCGTCTCAGTTTATGTGATCTGACCCGACACCACTGCCGCCGAGCACAGTTCCATTCTGACCGAATGGAACGCCAGTTTGGCCCGAAAAGAGATCAAGAAGTCAGTTCCCCCCACGATCCCATGTCCGCTTCTGGCGTGGTTTTGTGTGTCTACGAAACATGCAGCCATCAAACATTGACGACCACCAAGAAGTCAGAGGAAGACAAGTTCCCGCGCGTTCGCCAGAGAAGGGAACCAAAGATGAGCTACAACAGCTCGACGGTTCAGCGTTGTGCTACTCCCGTGGCAAGTCAACGACATCCTAAGGCGTGCTTCGGTTCGGCACGATAACGCGTCCCTCGAGCATCTATCACTCGCGAAGCCAGTGTCGATATTGCGAGCAGTACCCGGGTATGAAGTGAAACGGGGGGGTATCTGGGCAAGCAAGTCGAGCTATGACGGATTTCGGTGGAGGAATTCGAACACAAATAACGGGACAGGATATCCCGGACGTCGCTGTGGTGAAATATTTCGCAATGAGGGGTCTCGATGTCGGCAGTTATGGGATAACAACGAGAACCAGTTCTCTATTTCTCTGTACCGAGTAGCTGAGTGGAATTAAACTTTGCGACTATCTTGTTCCTGTTGCTTGATGTCCTAAAATCCCAGTTAAATTTGAGACGAAGTTCCCAGAGGGAAGACTGGCTGGCGGGCCGGCTTCCCCCACTCGACAAACAACCAACCACCAACTGTCTCTTTTCCCCGATCGAACACCTTGCTTCGTCCGTACCTTGCAGTAACTAAGCACACAGCAACTTTGGACCACAAGAGCCCCATCTGCAGTCACTCCCACAGTCGACAACACAGCCTACGATGAAAGTCCTCGCCTCCCTCCTGGCCGCCGCGTTGTGCCTGGCCCACGTCGTCTCCTCCGCCGGTCTCGAGATTGACTACCAGACGCCGGACATTGAGTGCACGCGAAAGACGCAGAAGGGCGACAAGATCGACGTCCACTACCGAGGCACGCTGCAGAGCACGGGCAAGGAGTTTGACTCTTCGTATTCAAGAGGCACACCGTTGAGCTTTGAGTTGGGCGCGGGGAGGGTCATCAAGGGGTGAGTTTCCTGTTCCCCTTTTGCCTTTTCCCTTTTCTCCCTCCCCTTCGGCTTGTTAGGACTTTTGTGTGGCATAGAGGAAGACATGGCTGACTGGGTTGGGAACTGTAGATGGGACGAGGGTCTGTTGGACATGTGCATTGGTGAGAAGAGAAAGTTAACGATCCCGCCCGAGCTGGGGTACGGGGACAGGTCCGTTGGGCCGATCCCGGCGAGCAGCGTGCTGGTTTTTGAGACGGAGTTGATGGGGATCAAGGGCGTCAAGAGAGACGAGTTGTAACGGAAAAAAAAAAGCTGATGTGATACTTATTGAAACCGCGGAGCCTTTTATTCAGTCGCTTCGCTTCGCTCCGCTCCTGCACGACAGTTTCATGAAAAGGCGGAACCCCGAAAAAAAAAAAGAATAAGGAAAAACAAAACCAAAACCAGGTACGGAGTACCTTCCTCAGCTTTGGATACACAAATCTGGCTCATTGCAGGCCAAGAGGTCGACGAAGCATGTCATACACCGGGCCGCTTGATCCGAGGAAATGAAGAACAACCCATCGATACAGGCTTTCAGACAACATTCTCGTTCCAGATCTGTCCCATTCTCAGTACATGACTTGCTGTTCTGCATGTAAATGGCGTGGGGAAACACATTGGAAATGAGATTCACGTCGAGGAAGGGAGAGAGTGACCAGGAAGAGGAGGAGGAATAGAGCCCGTGTGAACTTCAAATGTCATTGATTGCTTCCGATGGCATTGATCGGAGTAGGGGTATCATGAAATATGCCATGTCTATGAACCGTGGCTCCTAGAGTGTGGTGGTGCAGGCCGCGAGTCCCGGCTTTGTGCAGGTGTGACGCCTCGCCGGCCAGGTCTAGGTCATGGGTCCTGTGGCGAAGACTTCTTCGTGATCCTTCAAATCTATCCTTGCGAAACGAGTCCAGTTCCATCCTGAATACCCATAAAAGTAGACTTGTAAATCAATCCATATCGTCTAAACCCCCGCCATTGCCACCTGCTCCGTCGTCCTCGCCGACAAGTATTCCAACCAGACACTCGCTCAACATGGCGTCCCAATTGACCCAGGGGTGAACCTCAATGAACAACTTGACAGAATCCCTCCCCGCGCCCCTCATGATCTCACCCGCCCCGCCGGGGTGGAAAGGGATGTAGGGTGTGATGTTGTACACTTTGCCTTGGTACACTGTCCAGGCATCTCTCCCCTTTCTTCCATTCTGCCGCTTGAGTTGGGCTGGCGTGACCCGAATCAAGCTTTCCCCCGGTGCATCGTTGCCTCGAAGGTGGCTGTTGGGATTGGATGTGAGAGCCGCCCAATCGAGGGGAGAGTGACCCGGTTCAAGGATCACTTTCCGCGAGACTTGCTTGCCAGGCGGCATGATGGAGGAAGTTGGGGCGAAGGAGGCATTCGGGGGAGGCTTGATAGGGGGGACACGGAGCGAGGCGGCTGCTGAGGGAGGAGGTCGGATAAATCCATTGGCGGGTCGAGGTGGCGCAGGTGACCTACCAACAGTTGGAGGCTTGAGACGAGGCGGGCTTGACGGTCTCGCCGGCTTGGATGGTGGCGGCGGCGGAGGAGGAGGCATTGCTCCAGTCTTGGTTATTCTGTTGTCGGCCATTTCCTCAGGTGGTCCATCGTCTTGTGGTTGAGAAGCTTCCACGCAAAGGATCTCTGGTACCTCTGGTACAGGTGAGGCCCCTTTCACCTCTTCGACAAGCGGCGCGACCATGGATTCATGTTGCGAATTTGCAGGGAGTTCTAAGGGTTCTCGGGCGTCCTGTTTCAGCAAGATTCGATAGAGGGCATATCCTGCTATGAGAGTGTAACATCCAGCGGCGAGCCAACCCATTCTATGAACCGACCCAAGGCAATCGAAATGGTTGCGGAGAAGACGTGTGTTTGCAAAAGCGGCCTCATCGTGCCAGAGGGGTTGGTGTCAGGATAGGCAAAGGGGCTCCATGGTGTTGTCGAAAGGTGAGTTGGTGGAAGGAGGAGATGGCATGAAGGAGTTGAGCCATGAGAGCGCAGAGGGATAAGGCGAGGGGGGAAGGAGGGCAGTAAATCAAATGACGGCTATTTTTGGCGGTGACGGTCATTCATTCTCGGCCATTGTACTTCATTTTACGATTTTCACCCTCTTTTGTATCCTCCTCCCTTGAAATAAGGCCCCGTACTCCGTCCGCTGATGCCGAGCGCCTCAGTTGGGAGGATCGAGTTTCACATGTTGCTCCTTCGGCAGCCAGCACATTAGTAAGTTGGTACTGTAGGAGCACCACCTCGCTAGGCACAAGGCAATATTAATAGGCGGCCACTGCGAAACAGGGCAAATCTGGCACTTCTGGCACTTGTGCCTGATTGACATTGGGCTCAATTGTGGAATATTACAAGGTCCTAATCCATAAATTAAGACGCTTCACTCTTGCTCTTATTCTCCTTGTAGCCTCCCTTCACCTTCCTTGCTTTCCGGCTTTGTCGTTCGCGTATTTCTGTTTCTGTTACTGTTCAGTCCCTTGTTTTGTCACCTGAGGGGCTGGATCTTGCCGGAAGCACGGCTGGACACTTGAGGACACACACACAGTGGGTGACAAGGTTGAGACTGCATGCATATTCCTTAATTACTTGTCAGGTGGCCAGAGCCTGCCCAGAGTCTGCCCGGTGGCCAGACTTGAAGCTGACAGCACGAACCAAGCAGGAATCCTGAAGTCATACCTAGGAAGCTACTGCTGCTCCTCCTCCTCGTCCTTCTCGTCCTTCTCGTCCAGTTCCTCCTCATTAATTAGCATTCTCCTCTCTCGTGCCCTCCGATGCTACACACACCCAACCAATCACTGCCAAACACTCGTCTCCCACTGCAACCTTGACAACCATTTCATCTCCTCCTCCTACTCCTCTTCCAACATCCGACTCGCCGCTGAGCAGTTAATTCACAAGCACAGACCACAACACCAAAAGACACGCCCCCCGAGCTCCGACCAGGTTTCAGCTTTCCTCTACCTGACTCCTCCCGATTCTCTCCTCTCCAACTTCACTTCAGGAGATACTCGATACATTCTGCCTCACCCCGGTTGTGGCTTCTCTCGCTATTACTGGCCGACTCCGGAGGCACTAAGGCCAGAGGACAGAAACCCCTCGCATGACCATCCAGATTCCGTCACAACCTTACTTGCACCACACTCCTCGACTCCTCACATCACTTTCATCTTCTTCTTTCAACCTCTTTCACTCGTAAACTCTCATTGCCTGTTCTTTGACGGCGCCCTAAGGCGTATTCCACGACCTTTTTGCACGAGATCCGCGGCATCTCTCCATGTCTCTATAGCAGCCCGAGGCTCGCCCGATCGTCGCTACGGCATCCGTAGTCAACCAAACTCGAGACAGCGGCCATCACGCTTAGCAACACACTATTTCCACCCTTCGTCGGGCTCTGGAACCCTATCTGAACGTTCACTCCCACAGACCTGGACACAGTTGCTTGACTACTGCGGTCCAAAGTTTGAACCCCGTGCATGGAGTATTACCACCATCAAATGTCGTCGCCACCCCACTACGACGACTACAGCCCTTCCGGATCTCAACCTCGTTCTGACCGAGAAATTCCCTCTTTTGATGACCACAAGTACAAACGCCGCAGGATCGAAATCAAAAACATTAGCCCCCAGAGACACATGGCCGACCCTGCACATACCCCAAACAATTCGGTGCCGACCCCAGTCCCGTCCTCGGGCAATTTCTTTGGAAATGTCCTCCACGGTATACCACCCTTGATGCACCCTGGTATCTTCATGGAGGAAGATGCCGCTCTCGAGTACCTTGCTTCAGGCTCCGGCTTTGCTCAAGACTTGCGTAGCATCGACTCTCCCTTCCACTACCAGAACTTTCTCTCGACAGCCCAGCCTCTACGACCCCCTAATCTGACCAGTTATCCGTTTCCACCTTTCCGACAGGACTCAGCCGCCATCCCTGCTCGACCACTGCATGGGAACATCTTCCCAGGCTCCAGGGAGTCGGACGAGCGTTTACGGGAATCTCAGGGCCGTTGGGCAGAGTCTCCTAGGAATGTGACGACAACAAGCCCATACCATTTTCCGGTTGAATGGAGCCAGTGTGCCCCTCCTCCTCCTCTTCCTTCCTTCACCCAAATTGTACCGGAAAATGTCGCTGTAGGCCCCCGACGATCACCGCCAAGCTCCGCAGCCAGCCCGCAAAAGCCACCCACGATGTTGATCCTCACTCGAGCCACCGCAGAGAGTATCAAGGCGTTGGAAGACCACAAGAGGGAATGTCCAGCATGCCAGCTCGAATTCGAACCAGATCATTTCGTTGCTGTCATTACCTGTTGCGATACCCCCATGCACGCAACCTGCCTATCCGCCTGGGTCAATTCTGCGACATACTCCAAGAGCAAATCATGTATGAAATGTCGTAGAACCATCGATGCTAGACGCATGTTGAACAATGTGGTTCCACCCGTGAGTGATAAGACCTGGGATGAGGGCGTCGAGCTTAACGCGCCCGAGTCGTTGAAAGGGGACGCCAAGATTGAGCTTAATGTCAGTGCAAAGCCGGACCGGGCAAGGATTCGACGGATTGGCACCTCGATGTACTATCCAACCTACAGATCAGGACGACCCCCCTCTACGCTCCCCGACGCTCTGAGCCCTGACACCAGGAATGCTTTTCTCCAACTTCGGGAAGAGCAGATGCGAATGTTCGACGAGATGCGACATCGAAGTCGCATGGCGTTCACGGAAACCAACAGAGCGAATCAAGACGATCTGGGCGCGAATCGTGCACTACTTGAGGCCAAAGTCCGTGGCGACGCTGTGGACCTGACGCCTTTGATCAGGAGGTGCGAGAAGACCAAGTTAGCAAGGGACAAGGCCAGAGAAGCGTACGAGAAGATTCAAAAAGAGTTGGAGAGAATGTCAAGAACGCATACCCATCGCTTGAGCACCATGCTGGACGACTATTGGATGGAAAAATATCGCAGTGGAAGAAGCGCGGACGATGAGCCGGCCCGAAGTGTACCTCTCCGAGTGGTCAATGGAGAGCCATCTGACACGCGGTCTCCTTAGATCTCAAATGGTGCAGAGTCATTGAGCCGTGCAAGAGGGGCTCGAAGCCAGCGTAGGACTAAGAGTGCTGGCTTCTAGCGGCAGCACTGCAAGAAGGAATTTGAAAAAGGTTGGAAGGCCAATGGCAATTATTTAAGGCACGACATGTGGCGAGAATGTTGGTCCGGAGTGGGATTTCTGGGTCGAGTTGAAGGAGATCTTTGTGGGCGAAAGCAATGGGCGATCCACCAGAAACCGCCTATCGACGAGGTCGGATGGATCAAGTCCACAGAGGAACTGATTTCGCCAGGCGGGTGCGAGATGGCGACTCAAAAACTTAACGACCAGGATGGGCCCCACGACCACGAACACAGGAGCGGACGTACAAATTTGGTCTCAGCCCACACAAGTCACCGGCACTAATGATGATACGATGCATGATTTTCAGGATTTGCATGGGGAAGGCGACGACGATGATGTATAGGCGCACAAGGGACATATGGTACCAGGCTTGTTGCATTGGAAGCACTTTTCTTTCTGCCCTTCCCTGACACCGGGCTTGGATCCGCTCTCGCACTGGTAAGAAAGACAGCAGCGAGGGTCTCAGTTTCATCTTATTTCCCCATGTTACCAAGCTGTCAGGTGGGCAACCAAAGTCAATATCACGTCACATCGCACGATATGAATGTTTTTTGTACCTATGGGTATTGCATCCGTCCGCATCTTTTGTTACTCAGTTTCGGTGTTTCATCTTGTACATGGACATAGTCGAATCAGAATGAATTAATGAGGACGAAAGACAAGGTCTTTACACATTTCCAATGGGCAACCACCCCACTGGGCATGGATTCATATCAGTGGCGCGTGTCTACCCAGTACAGTGCAAGAGCAAGGTTGGCTGCAGAGGCCGACAACGATTGATGCCTTCCATTTCAGGAAAGGAACTTCGAGGCTGGGGCTGCATTTATCAACTCGGTCGTCTATTGTATGATACACCCAAGCGCCATCTTGCAGATGGCTCGTCCATTGACTCGGCCATGATTGATCTCTTAACCAGGGAGAGTTCTGTTGAGCAACATGCAAAGTACCCAAAACGTTGTCACGCTAATATCCAAACCTCGCCGGCAACGATCCGCCTCCTTCCCTTGGCCGGAAGCCGGCATTAGCACTCCCATCCTTCACGGGACATATTTTGAGACATTTCTTAGAGAAGCCCCATATCGCTGTGCTCACAGATGTTGCATATCTTCTTTCCACAGCCTCCTGTGCAGATGGATTGGTCGCGCTGCAAGACACTGGCTTCCATCATCGGGCAGCGGCGGATCCATTGACGGATAGCAGAGTTAGACCATTCCAATAGCCAGAACAGCTCATTTGGATATGTTGTCGCGGTCTGTTGGAAGGACTGTGAGTGGAGGTGAGGGTGTTTGGCGCCGCCTGGTCGGCCATGTTCTCTCTGGATTGTGAGTTGCCTCGCCCGCCGAAGAAGGCATCTATTGTTCTCTGGTTTGGTTGAGCCGTCTGCGGTATCTCGGCTTCTGGGACATCACCGATCATCTCGGCATCGGCTTCGTCCATTGGCACGCCGTCTTCGCCCAATGGTATCACGTCCGACATGGGCATTGCTTCGTCAAGATGCAGCCGTTGGGCGTCGTACAGTTTCCTCAACGTGTTCTCGTGGATAATCTCCTCGTTCGGTCTGTCGTCGCGATATCTCTTGCGCGTCCGACTGTTCAGGTAAGGAACGGCTTTTATTCGAACAGTGAGATAAGGATGCGTGTCGCTGTTGTATGAGATGGTGCTTGTTGTGGATTGAGGGGATGATGTCAGGGAGGGCGATGAAGGAATTATGTTCTGTTGGAGGTTGAACATGTCCTCCTCAAAGACGGAGGCTTTTCGTTTGCCGCTCATCTTTGCTGAGATATTTTCCTTTGGTCAGATACGCCGGGGAAGACGACAGATGAGATGATTGTGAGAGGACAGAGGACACGGGGTTTATGGGGAGGACGCGTGGGACGTGCGACGGGCAAGACGGGCCACTCTACGCGTCGCACACGCGCGAGGGGGTGGGAGGCTGGGAGCTTCAGGCGCCCAATGGTGAACCGCGACGATAATTAGCTCTGCAGAGGCAGCAGCCCTCTCCAAGAACACGGTACACAACAAATCGACGCAGGGCTAATTAAGAAATGGACATTGACAATTGAGGGCACGTGATTGAGCAGCTCGAGAGGGTGAAGCGTGCTCGATTGCTAGAAAGCCCACCGAGGGCCTCACTAGCCTCTATGCCTAGGGACCCGCAGGCAGGCGCCCAGCAGGTGCTTCAAGGATCCCGATGAACCCCGCTCTTTACCACGAGATCATCGTCGACAACTCACCAACCACATCTCTCAAACGATCTGAAGGTTTCCTCGTATTTCGTCGGCCCATTCTGCTCTCTCATTCCCTTTTTCAAGATGGCCGTGAGGGAAGCCTCCCATGCTGGCTCGTGGTACTCCAGCCATGGTCGACAACTATCAGCCCAACTCGATCAGTGGCTGTCCCAAGTGCCCGAGACGGCCATCATCCCTGGCTTTGATGGCCTGCCAGTACCGGGAGCGAGAGTCGTTATATCTCCTCACGCAGGGTACGCATACTCTGGTCCTTGTGCAGCGTGGGCCTACAAATGTCTTGACCTGTCCAAGGCCAAGCGCATCTTCATCCTTCATCCATCCCATCACCATCACTTAACCACGGCTGCGCTCCCTGTTGTCCACGCCTACGAAACTCCCCTCTCCGACACGCCTCTTCCTCTCGATCGGGAGACCATCGAGGAACTGTCCACCCTCTCGACGATTGTCCAGGGTCGTACTATCAGGTTCACCACCATGTCTCAGGCGGTGGATGAAGCAGAACACAGTGCTGAAATGCAATTGCCCTACATCCACCGCCTCCTTCAGAAGCTACACCTTGATAAGCCCGAGTCGTCGTACCCTCCCCTCGTCCCCATTATGGTTGGCGGGACGAACCCTGCAACAGAAGCTGCTTTGGGAAGGATGTTGGCTCCGTACATCGCGGATGAAAGCAACGTATTCGTCATCTCGTCGGATTTTTGCCACTGGGGGAGTCGATTTGGCTACACCTACTACCTCCCAGACGCACCTAGCCCGGCCTTGTCTCCACTGGTGCTTCCAAATGGGGCACGAGGAGAGTTCACCACGGCCAAAGAGTCGATCAATGAGGACGTCCACAAGGTGCCCACTTTGGGCCACGGTCAACATCTCGGCTCAAGGAGTCAGGTTTCAAAAGGGGGACCACAGATACACGAGAGCATCGCACACGCTGACAGAGCGTGTATGTGTGCCATTGCCACGGGACAACATTCAGAGTTCCTCCGTGTGCTCAAAGAAACCGGCAACACCGTGTGCGGCCGACATCCTATAGGTGTCTTCATGGCTGGCCTCGAAGAGGTGGAGCGACAGAACGGGGGTGAACCCGCGGAACACCGACGCTTCAGGTTCATGCGATACGAACGCAGTAGCGATGCCGAGACTGTCAGGGACAGCAGCGTCAGCTACGTGAGTGCTTTTGCAATCCTCTGAAGCGTGCGTTGGTCATTCGACCACGGGTCGGACAAGGTCAAAACAACCAAGAGCGGTTTATGCCGTGACGAAGATGCATCTCTCTAAATGGGTGGGTGGAGTCGTACCGCCGTTAGGCTACCCACGCGACGGGCGTAATAACGATGGTCGTGTCTGCGTCTGTTCGAGAAGTTGGCTTACCCCGCTCGAAAGAGGTACAATATTCAGGCACTGGGCGGAACCAAACAGTCAGATTGGTGTTCTGGGGAGTTGTTCGGGGGAGATCTTCGTCCGGGGATCCGAGACACGCAGGATTAGAATCTGACGGGCTGGATAGAGAAGACTGGCAGGAGAGGGGAAGGGCTGACGCTTGCTGATGCGTCAGCCAACGCACAGCTCAGATCGGGATCACGCTGAAGATTGAGGAGGATGTAGTTGTTTCTAGCTCTTGTTACATCTGCACGATACTGGAGGCCTGGGGAACAAAACGAATGCTAGGTGAAGCATACAGTAGAAGATACAGCGTAAAGCGTACAGCGCACAGGCGGCACCAGCACAAGCGCATGACGGATACCAAGTCCGCGGCCGGGGAATCCTTGGCGGCGATCTACACCTCCGGACCCACCGCGCCAGGGAGAAAAAGTTGCGATGTCGAGAGTGTGAGCGTCATTGCCCAGAACCTCGACACCCTCGAACACCACTTGCTATGTACGGTGCTGCCTCCCACTTCTTGGTAAAAGAGCGGAGTACAGGGACATTGTAAGCCAAGGACGACCAGGACAAGGGCAAGAGTAAGGGCCAAGGCCGACGACGAGGACGAGGGGAAGAGCAAGACCAAGGACAAGAGTAGAAAATCCGCTTTCTCGTCTCTCCTTCTCGAATCAAGAGAACGACAAGACGGCGGGGACATTGTTGATTGATTGACAGATCGACGAGGGAGGGAGCCATATTAATTGCAGAGTGCCACGGTAGAGTGTTACGATGACGCCTGCCACGGGACGACGAGACGACGAGACGACGAGACGACGACATAGCTACATGCAGCTTGGACGCGGGTACTCCGCCGTAGGGACCGTAGAATAGAAGCTGGGTAGAGGAGAGGAGAGGAGAGAAGACAAGAGAAGAGGACAGGACGAAGCAGGTGAGTGAGTGCGAGGGAGGTCCGTGCACACTGCAGGTTGCATAGACAAGTAATAGCCAAATAGATAATACCGCCGTAAAAAATACTCGGTACTACGTGCACAGTACCCTAACAGCTAGTTCGACCTTCCCCGCCCGTTGCACCATGGGAAAAAGGAACCACGGATCGCGATCGCGGTTCTTGGGTAGGCAGGCAGGCACCCAGCTCGGGCGCGGAGGTTGAACGGAGAAGGTTTAGGGCATGGCATTCGCTGACCGAAGATTGAAAAAGGGCCGGGGGAAAATCACAGCGGCGAACGAAAGGGCGGAAAAGCAAAGAAGCGA